GGTAGCGAGAACTAAGGTCTGATATGGGTTCAGTCGTTAAACCCGTAACTATCGTTCGGAATACCCCGTGTTAAAGTTTTCGAGGTTGCATGATTAGAAATCCCATTCCGACAGTCACTTTCATAATCTTGTAAGCGACTCTCTGATTGGTCGGATGAACGGTCTTTCTGACGTGACCCCTAATGGGATGTCTTCAGATCTTTGTTTATCGGTAGCGAGAACTAAGGTCTGATTTTAATGAGATTGTATCTTTTGCGGTACAATGAGCGATATGACGTCATAATGGTGACGCGTTCGGTTCCATCTACAGCTAACCTAGCTCTACATTGAAAACACAGTATGTTTATCTCCTAAGAAAATCTGCCGTTCCAAGATTATGTCAAAACAAGTCAGTCTCAAAGAACGTTCCTACAACTTGCAAACTTGGTTAGAGAACTCCAAAAGAAAGTTTTTCTCTTGAAGTTCCTCTCGCCAAGATCCCATAGACTTCAACTTCTATGGAGGCAAGAACTACAGCGCTCTTTAACCCGCTGTCGCCATACAGATTGGCTAACGTTGTTGTAGCCTAACAGTGCTGTGTGTGAATGGGATTGCTGCTCAGGGCAAACACGCGTACATGCCAAGCACAATATACCGTTATTCTTGTGATAGTTAACTGTTGTTTCATGAATCAGTATTAGCATTTGTTCATTCCAACACTTCCATGTTTTGGACTTCAAACAACGCTGACTGCATAGGAAAGGCTAAAATATATAAAAAAGATGATTTTAAAGGTTTTCAGGAAGCGTTTTTCTAATATTTGAACATAGTCTTTGACCCAAGAAAAGTTTTTTTTATGAGATGTAGATATAAGACAGAACAATCATAAGGTTAAAATTAAAGGTTTTGGTCACAGACTTGTTCATACATAGATTTCCTCTTAAAGTTAAAAAAAACGGCGTTTAACACTCTTTTTAGCCGGCCTTTGAACATGTTTGATAATTATCAAACCACTATTTCAAGTGTTTTTCGTAAATTTAAACTTTTAAGTTTCCATTGGTCATAAAGTGCCCTTATCCTACCTTGTCCTTTGTTCGGGTCTTCAAACTGGTATTTTACCTCTATAGTTAGTAACTAAGCGCTATCAAAAGAAACTGTTTAGACGATTTATATAATACTTCAGAGTAATTTGTTTATCATCAGTGCATGTTCAAACTACTGGGGCTTTTCGATTTCACATTCATGTTACCGTTAGCATTGTTTCTACTCCCTTTTACGGGAAGTTATCATCATAATGTGCGAGAATTAAAAATCCATCCATAATATAAAATATAAGAAAGAAATAAAAAATATGTTCAATTCATACACTTGGAAAGAATGCAATAGACCAAAATCAGGGCATTACACTACCATCACGATATTTACAATAATACGGACGGTGCCGATTCTTGTCAATCGTACCTATTAACAATGTCTCGGGTTAACGAGGCTGAGACGTAATATCCTTTGTTAGTGTTTCCGGATAAAGAGGGTTCGGACTAGCGGGGGTTCACTGTATAAGGCACGGCCAAATGACTGTTATATGATGTCAAACTCAGTATGAGCGGATTTCTGATTATGCTTATTATCATCATCATATACTTAAAACTTAGTATTGTAATGTTCATAATTTGCACCAGAATTTATTCGTTAATGTAGCGACGCTGTATGGAACGGTGTCACTCTTCATAACGAACGTATAGTTAGTTCATGGTACGTTGAGCGGGTAACGCCAGAACGACCTCGCCGACAGATGGCGCACGCTATATCTTCTCATCTAAACAAATATTGTTTTGAAATTGTTCAAATTTAATATCTTTCGGGCATGAATCAATACGACGGGACTGTTTTTATACTTGGTCAAGTCATCATGTTAGAGACTGTTTAATGGATTCACCAAGCGAAAGGTAAACAAAGACGGACGCGATGATATATGTCTATATGACCGCTTAGAGACATCAGCATTGTGCCAAGGGGAAACAGTTTCACACACGATAACAATCTTATTTAGTAGCATTAAGAAAATTCAAATTATGTTTTCTACAAATAATGACAAAATAACAATTCTCCATTTTTTCAAAAACTCAAACATTGCATTAACTCACTGCTGGAACTCCATAAAAATTGGTACTGGCGAGGTTGCCATATTGAAAGTCATTCTAAAGTTGCATTTTTACGATTTTATTCTTTGACTAGACAGAAAAAAAAATCAATTTCATTTTCTCGCAAACACAAGAGGTTTCATGTGTGATTATTTCAACCGAAGGGTCTACTTTAACGCTCTCTTCACATGGAAGTTAAATTCGTGAAATAAACATTTACTTATAAACTCTACATAAAATATGGCTGCAACGAAAACAATAAATTGTAAACAAAAACTGTTTTGTGAATCTGAGAAAAAATAATACAAAAATGGATGTTTTGTTATCCGAGTGAAAACACCTTTTTACTCACTCAATATCTGTTGTGCGCATTGCCAGTGACATCAAGATATATAAACAAGCACTTTATCCTGCTGGTGGGGAATAACTTTCACGGAGCGCTTGTTACGAAATAAACCATCCATATAATCAAGGCTAGCAATACGAACGCTTGAGCATTACAACACACAGAGTGTGGCAACTGACTTGTGTAGTATAACTTCTTTGATAGGCATTTAGAAGTTGGAGTACTAAGTAAGGATAACACCGTTATCAAGCTTGATAACGGTGTTAGAACCTACACCGAAACGTCGCTCTTAATTGTAATAAAGACGTTGTTCATCCATAAATTCTTATCCTTACTTTGTGTAGTATACATTCAATTGTACAATTCGTTATTCTTTCTCTCCGTCGTAAGTACACACGTTCTTCATGTCATTTGAATATAGCAGCGATAGCCTTGTGTTTACTATTCCTGTTTTAATACGAAAACATGAATTAAATAAACAAAATATTTTTATGAGATTTGTGTGACGTGTATCAAAAATATCAAACCTACGATTCACGAGTAAATTAACAAATTCAGATTCATAAAACCTTGTTTTATTGCGTTTGCTCAATGTAAAAATATTTTGCTAAATACAAACGTAATAAAACAAGGTTTATAAATCTTATTTTGTTAATTTACTCTGTGCGTGGATCGTAGTTTTGATATTTGTGTTGATGTTTATGGTGTTATTTATTGAATACAAAAGTTAGGAAGGAACGTGTCGTATAGCGAAAAGTATAGATCCGATTGGTTGATGTTTTGTAGATGTACAAAGATCTAATGTATTTTCATATTCGGAATTGGACACGGGTGGTCCAGTCGCCTAAAGCATCGCTCTTCACCATGTCACGTGGCATCCTTTAGCCGTCCATGGCAGAAACCTTCGACCGCGGTTTCGAATCGAAGATTATGTTTCTTGGACTGTCAGCACCATACATCTGATATGGGGTTCCATGAAAAAGGGGAAAGTTACTGGATTATTTATAGGGCGTTCATCCAACATCACACTGACACGCCAAAACGTTAACTGGTACTGTAAGCGGCGTCAAAGCAAACTCACTCACCCGCTTTTGCTGACGTATGCCAAATTAGAAATTACTGAAAACGTTTATACCGAATACTTTCCAGATTAGCCGCGAATCTCATAAAGGTGCTGTTATTGGTTCAAATCTGAAACATGTTTAATTGCACATATCAGACAATTAAGAATATAGGTTTTACGAATGTTTTTAAACGTTTTGTTGTTTTTTGTAAAAATTGGTATTTAGAAACCCTATTATCCTAGTTGTCCTGAAACAATATTATTGGTTGATGATTTTTAAATCTTTGACATGAACATGTCAAGCCTGCATCCCTCATGGAACATCGATCTCCCGTCCGCACCCCCCGGGCTATGCACGGCCAATACGTGCGATGTCTGTGATAAGATAAGCTCTGTGAAGATTCCCCGGCCCGTGTGCTATTCTTCTCATTCGTTGCGACGGGGTGGGGCTCGGCTGAGCAAGCAAACAATGGTTCGACATTTAGAATACGCGTGCAATCACAACAAATCCTCGTCAAAAATATCGCAACAAGTTGGTCGGAGTTGTCGTCGCTCACTAGGCACTGGACTGGGTGGCACAGTAGGAGGTCGTTTGTAATGGAGATATGTACCACCGTGTATCATGTACCCGCGAACCACTGTGTGAACTGCTGTGAACTACTGCACGTTTGGCAACGTATGCAACACCAGAACGACGACTGCTACTAAAATATGGGTTTAGCAACGTTGTTACTTCCATTTATGCTAATACTACTATTGCTATTGCTACTGCTGCCACTACTAATAATATCGATAATAATGCTAATAATAATACTGCTCCTATTATTACTATTTTTGCTGCTCCTCCTCCTCCTACTACTACTACTACTACTAATACTACTACTACTACTACTACTACTACAGAAATGATTTCTGCTGCTACTACTACTACTACTGCGGCTACTACTTATACTACAACTGCTACTACTACTACTACTGCTGCTGCTACTGTTGCTACTACTACTAATGCTGCTATTATTACTACTACTGCTGCAACTGCTACTACTGCTGTTGCTATTACTACTACTACTACTACTACTGCAACTGCTATTACTGCTGCTGCAACAACAACTATCACTGTAGCTTCTACTACTACTTATGCTGCTACTGCTACTGCTACTACTAGTAATTTCTGATACCACTGTTACATTAATTACAACACTACCAGAACAACGCTGCTATCCTCAAGCAAATGGTGTTGTCAATACTGTCGTGTAGTAGTCACTGTTACTGCTTCTGTGGACACAGCGGTCGGTACAATGGCTACTGTGGCTACGTTCAATACGTTCAAATCAGCTGCCGCTACTGCTACCAGCGATATTAATAGTGATGTTGCATCCAGTACAAAACCAACTTTTATCCTGCAGTAACGGCAATTGGTGTACCTGCTACCAGAACTACAAACACGTTAATACAGCAGTAACTGCTGCCGATGTTGTTGTTGCTGCTACTAGAGACAGAGCTGGACGAAAAAGGACAGGGATGGACAGAGAAGGTGGAGTTGGATATTGATGGACAGAGATGGGCAAAGATGGACGGAGATGGTGAGAAATGGATGGCAAAGGGTAGAAATGGACGGAGATGGACACAAATTGACAGCGATGGACAGAGGCGGGCAGAGATGGACAAAAATGGACGGAGATGGACAGAGAAGGTGGAGATGGATATTGATGGACAGGGATGGGCAAAGATGGACGGAGATGGTGAGAAATGGATGGCGAAGGGTAGAAATGGACGGAGATGGACAGGAATTGACGGAGATGGACAGATGCGGGCAGAGATGGACAAAAATGGACGGAGATGGACCCAATGGACAGAAATGGACGGAGGTGGACGGAGCTTGAAGGTGTTATTATGGGTGTACAGAGACTCCTTCGCACCGAGAGCCTGTTAATAATTTAGTATAAACTGACGATGTTTTTATTGCTATTAGTAACACAATCACTTAAACTTTGCTATTACTGCACGTGTAGCTGTGCTGCCAGTTCTACAAACCAGTCAATACTGAAGGAACGGCTACCTTTGCTGCTGCTACCAGTACTACAAACACGTAAATACTGCAGCAGCCCCCGAGGATGTTGTTGCTGCTACTAGAGATGGAGTTGGACGGGTATGGACAAAGATAAACGGAGATGGACGGAGAGAGACGGGGTGGGCGGAAATCGACGGAATCATCATGGGTGTAGTGAGGCACCTTCGCGCCGACCCCATGCTGCGAGACTTCACATGTCAACTTCCAATATTTACAGAATCAGTGTTTGTCCATTATTCCAGTTTCGGTCATATTTCGTGCGTAGAGTTGTCGGATTAGAGACGACAGCGTGGTACCTGTTGCCATGGACGCTAGGGATCCAGTGACATAACATTCTATCAGGACAAATATACGGATGGATCGACTTTGTCGTTTTTGGAGGTAAACGGTTCGGCGCTTATTTTCAAATCAAACATACAGCGTTAGTGTTTCGGCGGGGGTCCCCGGGGAGAGGGGAGGTGGGCGAGTGCTATGAGAGGGACGTGGGTGGGATACATGAGAAAGGAGCTTAGGGGTGACGCAGTTGGGATTAGTACATTCAGTCTGACTTTTCAAATATTGATATTATCTCAAAAACAAATGTGATCATAAAACTTAAAACATAATAATTATGACGATATGACTTTGTTGCTCATAGATGGGTTATTCTTCTCTGTACACAATAAACAATGTCAAGACCGTGCATATTTAACCTACTAAAAGTAAGAAATGGATAGAAAGCCTGTGGGGCTATCTTCAGCCCAATTTAATACCAATATTCTTTTAACCTCTGAACATGAATGATCTTTGTTTAGTTGTTTCCCCCTAAGACTCACAATATAATATGATATAAAAACATGGCCACAATTGCGTTTGAAGTATACATGTCTTTGAAATTGAGTTTAAGAAGGGATTATTTTTAATTCGATAACAAATATTAGTTTTGAGATTGATTAAATCCCTACTGCACTGTCTTTTTTCTGCAATTATATATTTATTTATTTATTAATTTACAAACTTATTACAATATGTTGGGACACAAATGGATGGAATACTGGCGACAGAATTATTTAAGGTATACTCTTCAACGTATATATTTTCTGAAGAGGAGCCATTCTTAAGGGGCCCACTACACGTTTATTCGGGACATCCAGTTAACAATTAGCAAAATACAATTCGATACAAATGATTTCTTTCTGCCTTGTGAATATATTTCCTAAGCCTCGTCATGTCGAAAGTTCAATCAAATTTGAAAAGAATTTGATAGTGTGGGCCAGAAACCTTATCACACGCTTTCTTTGAAACACCTTTTGGAAAATACGACAGGTCTCAATGCGTCAAAATCTTGTCCATGCAATCAAATTTTGTTTTAAAACATGTCTGTATCAACGGTAGTGACTATGGCAGTACCTTTGCATTCCAACAATATACCGTCACTAGTTCTGAATCTTTCTTAAAGGAGACCCGCGGGGACTCAGGGTAAGAGTGCAGGTCCCCGGCACCTATGGTGGTCGTGGGGGCACGGATGGCCCAGTCGTCTAAGGCGCCAAGATTCGCTGTGCAGAGTTGCGTCCCTCGGGCACGCCAGAAACCTATGATTGTGCATGGGTTCGGATCCCGGTTCGCCCCGATTATGTTTCTAGGTTTGTCAGCACCATACCCGTGCTCGTGGGTTTCACCGAAGTGGTAAACATCTGAGACCTGCATCACTTCGGGCTTTCCTCCCACATTAAGCTGACACGCCGCGATATAACTGTAATACTGTTAAAGGCGGCGTTAAACCCAACTCACTCACTCACTCACTATGGTGGTCGTAAGGGGTGACTTAATGGATCGGGAGGTCAGTCTCAGTGACTTGGTTGATTGCATGTCCTCGCATCCCGACAGCTATGCTCAAGATGCCAATCACAGACTTGTCCAGACTCGATTCTTTACAAAGTGTTGAGTTAAATAAACACTCAAAACAAACAAAATACTTATAAACACATCCGAGTGTACCATATGCCTGAAATGCACCTGCAGCACACAGCCCTATATATTCAGTATCTGTGGTAAATGTATTGGTATGATGCACTCCACGTGACCTAACAACGAATTCTCATTGGACAAGCGTGTTTTGGCAGTGAAGATGGGGATGAGTACCCCAAGTACAATCCTTGAGAAGTTACAGTAAGGTTGTTTGTTTGTTGTTTTGGGTGTGTTTTTTTTGTTTAACGCCGCATTCAGCAATATTCCAGCGATATGACGGCGATCTGTAAATAATAGAGTCAGGATCAGACAATCCAGTGATTGACATCGTGAGCATCGATCTACGACATTGGCATCCGATGATATGTATCAACCAAGTCAGCGAGCCTATCCACCCGATCCCGTTAGTCGCCTTTTACGGCAAGCATGGGTTGCTGAAGACCTATTCTACCCTGGATCGTCACGTGTCAGTTACATTTACAAGCAGCAATAAAAAATTATTACAGGTATATTTATTATAGTAGACTTTTTATCAAATATATTTCATTTTTCTTCCATGCACCCGCTCCTAATATTTTATACTGATAAGAAACTGGGGGTTATTTTCAACACAAACGATTTTACATTTTTGCTGGGTAGGAGGTGCCGCACTATTATTATAGCAATATTCTAGCGATATGACGGCGGTGTGTAAATAATCGAGTCTGGACCAGACAATCCAGTGATTGACAACATGAGCATCGATCCACGCAATTGGGGTACGATAACATGCATCAACCAAGACAGCGAGTCTGTCCACCCGATCCCGTTAGTCGCCTCTTTCGACAAGCGTTAGTGCCTTTTACGGCGAGCATGGGTTGCTGAAGATCTATTCTATCCCGGATATTCACGGGTCCTTTGTTCATGTACTTATCGTTGTGCATGTACTTATGCATGTTGAAATAATTATGATCATTAAAATTAACAGAAATTTAACGTTGAAGTAAGAATGGTGGGTAAGTTTATGTGAAATATGATTTAACGACGCTTTCAAGATTCTTTCACTCATGTGGCGACGTGCTTGCACGTGTGTTGTTGCTTGTACTAGTCCGGTTTTAGTGCTAGCCCACTGAGATACCATGCCGCAGTTTAACATGGATACCCATTCAGACAGTATATTGAGCCCGGCCTTGTTGCATTCCCTTAATGCTGAGCGGAAGGCAGGATAACACGAAGTTCTACATTCATCATGTTCGTATACAAAAATGTTGTTTACTGTCCATTTATAGACAAACATAGCGTTCCCGAACTTATGTAGAGATGTAATAGAAATGTTCTGTCGGGGAGCCTCGAGTGTAAGGAACCCCTCTAAATTGCAGAGCTGAAAAGGGGATGAGAATAGGTTGCTGAAGCTGAGGAGAGGGAAATGGAATGGTGATTCATTCATAACAGGAATATGCTGTAGGATCTTAAGCGAGACTGTCACCCACTGTCGATTTCATCTTCTCTTGAAAATTATATAAATGTTGTGATAAAAGGGATGATCTTCCAAGCTGGTCTGTTAAGTTAGCATGTCCCCAGACTGGTTAAACTTTGTGAATTAAATATGTTTCGACGAAACAAGAACCTCTGTGCTAAAATACCAACGTTTACGCAGTGAACTTTTACGAGCGCTTTGATCAGTTTTCCCATACCAACGATCTCGTACACCCCCAACCGGCACCGCCAATGTAAAGTAAAGTGATCACTGGTTGGTATGTACATGTCACCCCCTCAACACACACTGCACCGTGTTACCCCTCCCAGAGCGAGAAGTGTATGTTTTGTAATCCCAGAATCTTGTACCTCAGCAACAACAACCAGATCTAGTTGGTACACGGAAAGAGGGAGGGGGGACACTTTGATCCCCTTTAACGCTCGGCAATGAAAACAAACACCAACACGCTTCATTTACCTGAGGAGAGGACACTGCTGCTAACGACTTAGGTTTAATCAACGCACAAATAAAGTATCCAGGGAATATAAGCCTTCTCAGCCCCATGTCCTTCTTTTGTTTATGCGAGGAGCTCCATTGGGGAAGTATCGTTTGAGTTCAATGTGTGTTTTTATGTTAATTTAGCGCAATGCGTCTAAATAGAAGTGTTATTTCGAAAAAATAAACGGGGAAATATTTGAGTGTGTGTTTAGCTGTGGCAGTTGTGTTTCTTCTCGATATCAGATGTTTCTATCGCCATGTTCGGTATTGTGCGTCTTGATTCGTGTTTTTGTAAGGCTCGGGGTAAAGAATGTCTTATGTGTTTAGAGTTGATTGATCAATGCCATTATTACAGTCTTGTGTTCATGTTACTATGCGTCTCTTTATGCAAACGTCATGTATATATTGAAGACGAAATATGTGTCTTTGCAAAAATGTTAGCTTAATTGTAAGTCATGTTTTATTGGTCTCAGCGATGCCATGCCATTGTAATATAGTGTTAAGGTTATATATAGCAACATATAACTGAATGAGTGAGTGGCTACGTTATTTTACGCATTCAACAAAATCCCAGCAATATTACAGCTGCTTGTAACTCATTCGAGTCTGGGCGAGACAAACCACTGTTAAAAGCATGTGGATCGATCCGTGCTTTCGGGTCAGAATGACATTCAATCAAGTTACAAAAAAACATCTGATCCTCGTTTGTCAGCTATCACTATGTTGTTTGTTGTTTAACATATATTCAGCAATATTCCAGCTATATGACGGTGGTTTGTAAATATTCGAGCCTGGACTTGACAATCACTGATTGATACTACAAGCATCGATCAAAGCAATTGGGAAGCGATGACATGCAATCAGCGAAGTGATGTAGTCTCCTGTGACGACAGTCATAAGTTTCTTGGTACCAATTCTCATCTAGAATCCCCACGGGAACATCTATTAGGACGTGAGCAGG